TCATCTTGATTGAAAACTCTGTATGTCCCCATTCCAGTATATAAAGCAGCTTTATAGGTGATATTTGATATGCTCAAAAGTCAGAGAAATATGTATTTCTTTAAATAAAACCCTTAAAGTGTGTGGTATTGCCAAATCAAGAAATTGATACTACAGATTTATGCGCATAACCTGTTCAATTTTAATACGATGGGGCAGCAGTCTAAAATAGTGGATCTGAATGGGAGCTAAAATTGCTGGTCAAATGGTATTCAGAGTAACTTGTATTTTAGGAGTTCAGAATGCTTGATAAGGAGAACACAGTGCAACAAAGATCTTTGTTCGTGCACTTACACTGTCAAATTTGCTTTTTGAAGGCAGAGAGTATTCACAGTACTTAAATTATATGTGTGTTTGTCTTCACAAAGTCACTGTCACCTTTTTTTATGCTTAGGAAAAGGGAAGGTGAACTCAAGACAGTTAACGTGCAGCCTTCAAGTGTGTATAATTAGGGCCTTGTATCTTTGTTGAATAATTGCATCTCAAAGTAGCACTATGTTTTGTGATTTTTTCATTTGCATGTTTTTACAGTGAGTGAAAAAGGCACCTGGGTCTTTATCCACTGCTGTTTAGTTTCAAGTTTCCAAGCCTGTAATACACAGGCAAATCAGAACTTTTTGCCATTTCAGTATGTGCTAACCTGAAACAGAGCATCCTGACTCCAGCATATGGCTAAAATTCTGTATTTGCAATACGTAGATTAAAACTTGGGTGGAAAATGATGTACTGTGTGTGCACAACAGGCAAGTTTCCAATATTATTTTTTTATTTCAGAACTGAATTCCTTTCAGGAGGACAAATGGCTGTCCTACATTTTTTTCCCATAGTGACTATTCAACTGTGAATTGCATTACTGCACTAAAATTTCCGTTGTGTAAGAAGGCTGTCTTTTCCTTGACAGACCTAACTGTTCTATGTATTGTGTGCCCATTGCAGTGTCAGTTTTGACTGTGCTCTAGCACTATCCCAGCTGAGAATTAGCTCTTTCTTTCAGTATCACAGAGTTGCAATAGATGATTCTTGTGAAATGCAGCTGGTTTCCCTGCCCATGCAATCTTAATCTTTGGTTTGAGAAATAGGATACTTCATACCACTAGTGATTTGTAAGAAGGAAATAAACTTGCTTCATTCTGCATGTACATTGCTTGCAGACCTGCCTTGTAGGTGAAGTCAGTGCTGCTAACACTTGTTATTTAGCTAGTTAGCAATTTGCAAGGATTGCCTACTTTGTGGAAGCTACGTGTTCCAGAACTTTTGCTTTTTCTGATTTATTCTAATTGATTCTGGGAGAATGGTAGGGAAAAAAGCTGGGAAGTAAATAAGAAGTACCTTTACTTCAGAATTGCTTAATTAACATAGCTGTACCAGCAGAGCGCTTCAGGCAAGACCTGGTTCTAAGGGAGGATGCTTGTCTTTGGAGCAGAACCTACTTCATCTGCAGCAGCCGAATCACAGTACTCCTGAAAGCTGCACTCTAGCCCTTTAGCAAAGACAGGAATGGTAAGTGGTGTTGCACTCTGGCTGCCTGATCTCCTAGCAGTAGACAAATGTAACCAATTTTTGACTAACTTTGTAAGAAGCTGTGCAATACAAGCAGTAACAGAGGACTTCTAAACGTACAAAACTTTCATGTTAGATCACTGTCTATGTGGTTTAGTTTTATAAGCTGTTTAATTTGTCCATCAGGCAGGCTAGTTGATGGAACAAACTCCATTTATATACAGTGTGGTAAATAGAAAGAATGGGCCTGGCTATTATCTGTAGTGCTGAGGGTGATCCTATTACAGCCTATTCTGTAGAGACTGACACCTACAGGAGCAAGGAAACTGACCAATGTAGTAAAGAGCTTTGACTGTTTTTCTTCCTCTTCCCTTTACTTTTAATACTTCTCTGTATTAAAACTGTGTCTTTCCAGCATTGTTTATGACCTATATAGTAATACAGGTCAGCTCTTCCATAGTGAAGCTCTGGGATATGCATTGGTCAAAAGTTGTTGTTTTGATCTTTGTGGAGTAGGGAGGGAGTTAATAAGAAGATATAAGGTAGGATTACAGTTTTGACTTTATCATAACTTCAGTTGAGTAATTTAAATTCTTGGTAGTTTTTTTTCCCCATCTAGTAAATAAGAATAAATAAGCTTAATTAAGCTGTGTTTAAGGCCTTCAAGTAGTATGTGTAGAAACACTGGAATATGGGGTTCTGTTGATCTACTTCTTGAGAAATCAGTGTTGTGCTATTTTTCATCTCCATGCAAGAATAGCAGCTTCTAGTTTCCAAGTAGCTTGAAATCCTGTCCTTTGGAAGTTGTCGATAGTCTTCTATTGCTATCTCAGTGTTGCCATATGCCAATTTCCTAATCTGCTATGCAAGACAAAATGAGTGGGAACTACTTAAGAGTTCTAGTATTTTGCTTTCTATCAGTAGTTGGGAGGCTGCTGTTTGAAAGTCAGTCTCCACCAAAAGCAGCTGGGCCTCAAGAAATTAAAATTTTTCCTGTGTATTTGCACAAGTCTCAGACTGCAAAAGAAATACCCATCTCCAGGCTCCAGAAAACTATGTTTGATTACAATTCTGCATGTAAATCAGCTACAAATCCTCTTCCACTTACAGCAGCCATCAAGCTATCATGCAGGATACAAGAAAGAAAAGAACCTGTAACTTGACTGAGGGAAATCCTGGTAGATAATTGTTGTATTTTAGTAGATCATTTGGTACAGAATTCCTGTCTGTAAGGCTAATGCGAAGAAACGCACTGCTGCCATAGAGGTGAGAAAGTTCAGCTTTCTCCATCAGGGTAAATGAAAGACCAGGGCCATGTGCCCGAAAGGCAGTTTTGTCAGACACAAGGCTGGGAGAGCTGTTGCATGTCTGGGTTGTGAATTAAGTTGCAGTAGACAGTGAGGTGCTCTGAAAAGGTGCATTTGAAGGTCTATGGAAGTAGATGGAAAGAGTTGAGGGACTCCTTCCAAGAATTTGTTGACTCTTTAAACCCCTATTGTGACTGCTCATTTATTTTTGTAGTGTCAAGTGGCTTCCTTTGAGTTTCCTTTTATTTGTTTTTTCTAATCCAAGTTAGAGATACTTAATTTGCTGTAAGTGCCAGAGTTTGTGTATCTCTATCATGAATATTGTTCACATCATGATGTCTAATTTGTTTTTTAACAGTAGTCTAGTTGTGTTCTGCTGTGTCTGAGAATTTGAAGATAAGGTCTTTATTATACAGATAAATACAAATGAGAAGTCAAAAGCATTGCATTGTGGGTGCCTGCAGCCTTGGCTACAGTTACTGTTTGGAGATGAATGATTTACTGGGTTTTGGGCCCCAAAAGGAAGTGAAGGAATAGGAAAGCCTTCACACTAGAGATGCTAAGCATGTAAAGAGCTGTTAACATCTACAAAAAATGGTTTAAAGTTGTGCTCAACTCTGTTTGGTTTGTAGCGTATACTCACTGTTCTCAGTGGCACATTTCTGCCCTGTGTTCTTTTTTTAAAGTATCCAGGACTTCTGCAGTCCATACTGCACCAAAGTTACAAAATCTTTGTCAGCTAGTAAGACCAGAAGAACTCTCCTATGCTCTCGGGGGCTAGGTCATTCCTCTCAGGCACTGAGACAGTAAATAGCTCTTACCTGATAAGTTGAATTAGGCAAAATTCCAGTAGGGATGGTAATGACTTTGCCTTTTTGCAGATGCAAAAAAGGTAAACGTGGCTTAATTGTGATCCTCCTCTACAGTATATTTTAAGACTATCAAATACTGCTGGGGTGGCAAAACTCTCATTGTGTCAAAACAGTTACTGATAATTTGTATCAAATAGAGTAAATTGAGTAAGTTTAGGCAGAAAAGTAGATCCTGTGTCCCCATTTGTGTATTTGGACTACTTCGGTCAACAAATACAATTACTAGCAACTGTATTGGAGCACAATAATGTATTAAGGTGACTAAAGCTGAGATAGGAGGAAACATTTAGTAGTGGTAAATACAAACAGTGGTGTCTGGAAGTACAGCAGCAGCTTTCTGCTGGTTAGGTCAGTGTGAGATTTTTTAAAGGCTTCACCTGTGTCTCTTGCCTTTTTAATCAAAACTAAAATCTCATTAAAACTGGTTATAAGCCATGATTATTTTGGGGGTTATTAGGGCTGCACAAGTTCAGACATCCTATCTTTCTAGCTGTTAGTTTTTCCAAGTGCAGGGAAACAAGTCACAACACATAATTTTCTCAAGTCTTTTTTTTTGTGGACTAATAAATTGACTTGGATACTGTATGTGTAGGACTCTTAAATTCAGGCAGTTAAAGCATTTAGGAAAAACAAGTTAAAACTGAAACTGCTAAAATGTCATGTGTATGTATGTCCTTGAATTGTTGTTGATTGTATCTGCTTATGCATCTGACCTTCTCAAGGGTCTTGCATTATTTCTAGTTTGCATAGTCTGCTGCAAAGTCCATTGTGAAGACTGGGTAGTTGATCCTGATCTGGAGGCTCTCTAAACACTGTGCTACCCTAGATTATTACTGTGAAAGAAGAAATGGAGATGCCAGGAAACAGCACAAAAAGGCAAACTCCTGTGAAATCCTTCAGGACTCTGGGACTAAACAATTCATCTGTGCTGCTACCATCTTGGTATTTTTCCTGCAAAATTGCTTCAGGAAAGCCTAGCTCCACCCTTTTGAAGGCCATGTGCTTGGGGTAGGATCAGGATTTTGGGGGTACTTGGCTAGAAGAGGGTTTTCTTTAAGTTGTGCATGCTTTTGTGCTGTAAAAGCTTTTTTACAGAGGGTGAAATTTATTTGTTCATGTCACAAAGAATTCTGCTAAGGCTGGAACATTCCAAGAAGATGGGTTTTAAATTTGGCTTCCCTTCCTTCTCATCTTGACAGCATTTGAAATGACTTTGTTTTTCCTTCTAAATAACAAATGCTCCTTGTGACTATGTAATTAACTACACCTTCCCCTCCCCTCTTTTTATGGAGTTTCTTTTCCAGTAGCACAACCCTGCCAGGAACAATACTAGATGGTGGTGCTGTTCTTGTCATCATGAGATGGTAGGCTGTTTTTGGTGTTCCTCCTCTGCAGTGCCAACGCTATGTCCAGTTCTCTCAGCTGCTTCAAGAAGCCCCGGTTTGGCAAGATGCATCGGTGTTTTGATACTTGCTCAATGGCATCCACCACTGTCATGTTCTTGTAAATCATCAGGTAAGCCAAGACCAATGTGGCTGACCGGCTGCGACCCATAGCACAGTGAACCAGAACCTTGTCTGTGGAAACAGAGAGATAATGCAAAGATGACACTGGGTAATTTCTTTTTTTGACAGTGAAAGTTTCTATAGTGCCCCAGCTCTGTACCCTTACCAGCACTTTTTTAAGGCCCATCTTTTTACAGGTGGGGAAACTGAGGCTCTAAATCTTACTGTAGTAGCCGAACACCATCTACATTTGAGATTAGCCATTTAATCCTAAACCAGGTATCTTTGAATTTATTTGTGAACAAAGGTTGCAGAGAAGGCCTGGGGGCTGCAGCCTTGCATTGAGTAACATAGCAAGCCCCACTGCAGCCTAATCTTGCATGCCTCATAAGCAGCATGTATGTAATTCTGGGGGTATAATGAACAAAGCACAAGGCTGTGGGAGGGTTTGGTATGCTATCAAACCATTATTCCATGAGGAAAAGTGGGATGCACGGAGGTGCCTTTCTCAGTTTTACCAGCTAGGCACAAAAGCTAACCAAATATGATTATTTTTTGTTGTTCTGACAAAGATGTCCTTCAAGATCTGGAGTGCATCACTTTATGCCCAAATACTTCATTTGTAAAATGTAGCTAACAAGGCTTTTTTAAGGCTCAGTTTTTGAGGGCAGAGGATAAGAAGGGCCATAGAAGTTAATAGGCATATAACCCGGGGGATAGAAAGAAACCACCTCTTAAACTGCAGAAAAGCTTCTTTAGAAATCTCTGGCTAGTCACCCTTACCCTATCATGTTGAATGAAAGTAACATTTGCCCACCACCACCTCCTGTCTGTTTTACATGATCATCTCCTTGCAGTAGTGGCCTGTCTTGTATACTGTGAGTGCAGATTCTCTGCTAATAGTTTTCATCTCTGAATAAATGTGCCTCAGGATTTAGCTTTGTGACATTGCTTGGTTTAACTTTGGACTTCCAGAGGCAGAAAGTCCTTGGCTTCAGGTGCTAGCAAGGATGTAAGCCAAAGTGGAAATTTCCCTGTTTGCTATGTCTGGGGGAGGCAGAGGAAGAGAACAGTAGGTGGGTTCAGGTCTGATTGACAGGTTTTGAAACACTTAAAAGATTTCCAAAAATGATTCAAAGCCCTTGAGGGGGTCTCACAAAGCGTTGAACTGCTGAAGGAAGTAGATTTGGAACACTCTCTCTAACACCCTGCTAAGCTGAATTGCCACAGGAAGAAAAAAAATCCTGTCAGGGCCAACAATAGTTTATCTCTGTTAGCTACGCCTAGTGAGAAGTGTTGGGTGCAAAACCACGACTCCTGACGATTAACTCCTTTGCTTCCAGGCACAAGAGGATGTCTTGGCACAAGTAGCATTGCTGTGTAATGGATGCATCAAGAATTGCCAACACTAGAGGATTAATGGTTACAGTCTGCATCCTAATCCCAGCAGATAGTCTTAGAGGCATCTTGGCAAAATTCCAGTCTCTCTGATAACTAGAAGTGCCTCTTCCTCTCCTGGAAAATGATAATCCCTTCTATTATTACTGCAAATATTTGAAACGGATGAAAACTCTCATTTGTTCAGCCCTTCATGCTTCTCTTTAGAGCTTCCCACCTTGTAAATGGGTTGCTGTTGAGGCGATAAAATACATGATAGGACAAGGAAGACTTTGCTTTGTGTGGGTGGCAAATGCAGGGGGATCTAGGAGAAAATGTACAGTTTTATATTGTGTTAACAAAAGCAAAATATGGCTGTACAATTTTCTGAAATGCCTCCTGGTTGTAGGAAAATGAAGTCTGTCCTTTCCTGTGTGTGAATATTCAAGATCTGACTGCCTGTTACAGCAAAATGCAGGGCCATATCCCTTCTGTACTATTTTGTAGTCTCTTCAGTTCTGGCAAAAGGACCAATCTGAACCCTCTTTCCCCAAGAGGGAGTCTGCTCTTGCAGTCTTTGATTCTGACCACTTATATTCTTCAAGGTGTGGCTGAATATAAAATATCAGTGCACAGAGCCAGAGGTCTGCTGAGTGGTGACAGGTTCCTGAGCTATTTTGGTCACTTGACTTGGGCTTGTGTTTCTTGAAAATCTGTCTAGATTCTGCACTGCCTTTCCAGAGTCAGATGGAAGTGATGAATGTTGAGGTGTCTTTGGTCAAGTGCCTTGCGTCTTTGTCTCTTATGTTTCTTCTCACATTGCTTTTATCATCTCGGTCTTTAATGTGTTTTTTCCCATGACATCTTCACGTGAAAAAAAAATGCTATTCCCCTGTACTTTACATTCTAAGGAACTAAGACACCAAGGGAATGAGTACTAAATCTGTAGCGTAGAAGGGAACTTAAAAACCTCTTAAAATCATGTCTTCCTTTCAGGTAAATCAGGCTTCGCTGGTACAAATTTTAAGCTGTCCTATGGTCTGAATTGCATGTTTGGGGAAATCTTTATGCACAGCTGAATGATAGTATGCATAACTGTGAACAGTTCGAGGTTGCCTCTAAAACTTACTCTTATAACTGACTTGCTTTCACTATTCTTAAGTCCATCTGCCCATGCTTAAAGTCTGCAAATACTGCTCTGATCAGGGAGTTTCTTCACCATCACAATGAGTTTGAAGGTTAAGTCAGATTTACTGCATTGGGGCTGTGTTTTGACAGCATCCAAATTGCCAAGCTTTCTGGCCTGTGGCAGAAAGAGAGAGGCTTCTTCATTTGCCTGACAACTTGTTTCGACAACATTGACTATTGAGCAGCTTCCCAGCAAAAAGCATTGTATGAAGACATCTCTCCAATGAATTTGATCATTTGGCTGGCTGAAGGTCAGCCAAACAATGTGATACAGCCGAAGCAAACTCGTTAGTACATACATTCTGGTCACAAAAGTTGAAACTTCTTTCCTTTTTCCCCTTTTCCCTCTCTTTGCATTTGCAAAGTAGCAAATGAGTGTAATGGTGTTACTGATCAGAAGTATTTAGCATCATGTACTGAAGTCCCATGTTATTACCACTGGAGGTAGGTACTTAGTTACTTACTATAAAATCCAGTTTAGGAATCTGGATGCTATTTGTCAGTCAGGAAGATGCACACAAATAGTCCTTTCATTAGGCACTTGAAATACATAGTACCTTTCTACACTAGATGTGCATTCACAAACAATGCATTTATGTTGTTGGAGGACAGCACTAGTTACTTGCCTCTAGTCTTTTCTCCTGTAAGTGTAAGAGACATCAGTCTACTCTTTAGTCGGAGCTTCTGGAGTCATTCTGTTGTTCTGTAAATGTGTTTTGGAAAGCTACTGTCATGCATTCAACCTCAATCTCGTGGGCCATGCATATGTGCCTTTATGCATATCTTTGGCTGGGATAGGAGATACATATTTAGTGTACTTTTCCCTCATGAGAAAGTAAAGAGCTTTCTCTTTTTCTTCGTGAGTGTTATAGGAATTCTTTATTTTATTGGTCTCCATCAGAAAAGATCCTAGCTGTCTTATTTAAAAACCATGCGAATGTGGCAGGCAGTGCACAGCTACAGAAATGATGGCAGTTGGTAGCATCTACTTAAGTGCATATTTGTTTTGTTTTGTAGAAGTTCATCCAGTCACTCTTTGATTTGGTCTTGTGTTTCAGTGCTGGACTGGTGCTTGATGCTGTCTCAGAACTTCCTGGACTTTCATGCGGTTTTGAAACACAAAGGTTGATACTCCCCCCCAACCCCCACCATCCTTCCCTGCCTCAATATTTATGGGGATGCAAGTTTTTTTCCTAGCCTTTGCTGCTTCCCTTGTGGTTGTTTCTTTACCTGTGCAGCAGACAAAGGTGTTACAGGAACAGGAGGGTGATGGGAGTGAGGAAATCTGCTTTTCTTATTTCAGCTACTCCAGTCTGATACTGACCTCTGGCCTCCAGCCATGGCTAGACACAGGTGCATGTTAGTTATCCACTCCTTCCCAAAGGCTGTGCTTCAGACATACTTTTTTGAAATACCAAATACCTTTCTTCATAAGCAAGTAAGCTCCTGAAGCAGTTTCTGTTGCTATTAGGACTTTGATTTTTAAAACTGAACTGCCTTCAGGACTTTCTCCTGAACAAGGGAAGGGACTGTTGCTGTAGACTGTATTTGCTGAAAGGTAAAGTTGTAAAGACCTGGCTGGCTATTGGGGGCAAGCTAGGTGGTAGCTGGCTACAGCTGAGCTAAACAGCCAAGAATGGAAGCTGACACAAGGCTAGAAACTTGATATGTGACCCTCTGATATTAAGGTCTTTGTAGG